GTCCATGGAAAATATCTTCCATCCTCGATCGACCAACACATCATGAGGTGGGGGTCAGATTGGATGATGTTAGTCCTGCGCTCATTGCTTACAAACAATAAGGGAGAACTGTAGTGAGCGGACAGGATTGCCATTACAAGATGGCGCCGACATCCTGTCTTGTTGGAAATAAACAACTCCATATTTGGCTATGCCTTTGAGAGCTGCGTGTCCCCCGCTTCCCGCATGCGCGGTGGATGAGGATCCTTGAGCCTATCCCGATGCAGTCTGGTGTCAGCTGTTGGTGGCAGCCAATCACAGGGCAACCCGTGTGCCAATTCCCTATTTAAGCAGCTGCCTCAGTGCCCTTCACCCCTTCGCTTCATGCTCTCTCTCCCCTTCGCTCCCTGCTCTTCCCTTCCTGCCCCTCATTTCCTGCCCCTCTCGCTTCCTGCTCCCCATCAATCAAGGACACTCCAGTAAAGCGTGTTCTGAATAGAATCCTGGTGTGGTGGTCGTTCTTCCTTGCTGGTCAAGAAGTCCGCCACAGTACACAATAACAATGGAGTGCCTGGTTCAAAGAAGAGGCTAAGCTTATTGAACAACAGACTAAAGCTAGAAGTGGGGAAATCTCCCAAGATCAAATTCTTGGAGGAGATTATGCTTCTATAGACATGCAGGCTGTATATAATGACCACAGCCTGGATTTATGCTGCACAGCAGCTTTGAATGCTTGGGACAGAATTGGAGGATTGAGAAAAAAATGAGTCATTTAATAAACTCATCAGGGCCCAAAGCCCCTTTACAGATTTCTTACAAAGATTGACTTCAGCGGTAAATAGAATGATGCCAAATTCAGAAACTAAACAAGTAATAATTAAATCTCTGTCTTTTAAGAATGCCAATTCTCTATTCAAAAGGATAATTAGGCCATTAAAAGCAAGGTCAGCACCTTTGGAGGAATAGATCCAAAATACAATTAATATAGAATTTCCCAGAGCAATTAAAGAACCTAATGCCTTATTGCAAGAAACCATACTGCTGTGGATGATATAACAGCTATAGAAGAGAAAACAAAAAAATTATGAGAAACCATAAAGTGAGTATTTGGCAAGCTTATATAAATGAACAAAGATCAAAATTAAAATGTGAATAAATGACATTTTCATTGAAGGTCTGATAGACACATGCAGATGTAACAATAATTTCATTAGAATATTGGCATTCAAATTAGTCTCTTCGAGATGTAAATGTTCAAGTTTTAGGTATTAGACTTTATTTTGAGTAAAGCAAAGCATGAGATGGGTTGAATGTATAGGGCCAGAAGGACAGAGATGAATATTAAAACCAAATATTGCTAATATAGCAATGAATTTGTGGGTTTATGATTTGTTACAGCAGTGGAATACTGAGATTAACATTGCCCCAATCTTAGAGACAAACCATAAATTAAAGTATGTTTCTGGGAAAAATATTAGAAGTTTTTATTTAAAAAAAACTGTCACCAACCATTCAGGTTGTGCAAGAACAGAGCAAAACAGATGCTGATATTTCAAAGGCACCAACAATACTATCTCTAAAATGGTTGACAGACAAACCTATGTGGGTTAAGCAATGGCCTTTAACAATAACAAAACTGAAGGCTTTATAACAGATGATACAGGAGCAACTAGAAGTTCACCATATTGAAGGATCAACCAGTTCTTGGAATTCTCCTGTATTTGTTGTTAAAAAAGAAATCTGGAAATTGAGAATGGTAACAGATTTAAGAGCTGTTAATAAGGAGATTCAGGCAATGGGCCCTCTACAGTCTGGCATTTCTTTGCCTTCCCTATTGCCTAAAAGATAACCTCTTATAGTTATTGATTTACAAGACTGTTTCTTCACTATACCTTTACAAAAAGACAGAGAAAAATTTGCCTTCACAATGCCTACATATAATAATTGTCAGCCTGCTAAAAGATATCAATGGAAGATCCTCCCACAGAGAATGTGAAATAGCCACACTCTGTGCCAATATTATGTAAGTCCACCACTGAAAATGATACATAAACAATTCCTGAATCTATAATTTACCATTACATGGATGATATTTTGCTATCAGATTCAAATGTAGATACTTACAAAGAATGTTTGAAGAAGTAAAAAAAATCTTGCCTTGTTGGGGATTACAAATTGCTCCTGAAAAAAATACAAAGAGGAGATTCTATTAATTATTTAGGCTATAAAATAACCTAAGTTTACAAAAAAATTAGACCTCAAAAGGTACAAATTAGGAGAGATCAACTACAGACTCTTAATGACTTTCAAAGATTGTTAGGAGACATTTCCCTGCTACAGCCCACTATTGGGATAAAACTTAATAAATTTATTAATTTAAACAAAACCTTAGTTGTTGAGAAGAACTTAAATAGTCCCAGAGAATATCAACTGAAGCTGAGAAAAAATTGACTTTGATTGAAGAGAAATTACAGAAGATATATATGGATTCAAATCTTAACTGCATTCTGGTCATATTACCCTCCAAATATTCCCTTACATGAATTTTAATACAGAAGGAAGATGTTATCTTAGAATGGAACTTTTTACCACATAAACCAAGTAAAAAATTTAAAAATTGTGTGGAAAATGTCTCTGAGTTAATTCTGAAAGAAAAATTGAGACTTCATCAATTAGCAGGGATAGATCCAGCAGAATTTATAGTACCTTTACTAATGATGAAATTAACAAATTATGGGAAGAAAGTGAACCCTGGAAAACAGCTTGTAGTAATTTTGGGGGGAGAGATTAACAACAACTATCCTAAAAGTGATAAAATTTGACTTATAAGGAGAGTCAATTAGATTCTTCCTCACATTGTATGGGATACACCAATAACTGGAGCCCCTAAGTTTTATATTGATACAAATAAATCAGGAAAGGCAGGTTACAAATCAGAAATTTTAAGTAAAATGGAACAAGGTCTTTATGATTCTGTCCAAAAGTCAGAATTATATGCTAATCTCCTGGTACTAAAGGACTCCTGGACAAATGAAACATCTAAAGAAAAATAACAAATCATCCAGAAAAAAAAATGTCTCAAGATAAAGAGTAAACTGGGCTATTGGTATATCACATTTTCAACAGGGTAAAATCTTTCCAAATGTTTGTTTCTGCTATTCTCTACAGACACATAAAGCAAATGGTCTTTTTGTAGTCCCAGTCCAATTAAAGATTAAAGCTGGCTTTGGAGATGGAGTTTGGCTCTCTCCTTATGCTTATTAAAGAGAAATTCACAATCTCTGTCTCATGTCAGAAGAGCCATGATATGAGACAGAAAAAAACAAAAATTTAAGAGCTATTTTATTGTTACTAATCTCATAATCCTTTGATTTTATATTGACCCTTTGTCAGCTTTTCTTAAGGCATAAGGCTTAATAATATATATATTATTATATAATTATATAATATATATATATTTAACTTTACATCATGATATTAATGGTCATACAGAATACTAATTCTAAAAAAAATTTAAGTACAGAAAACTTTTATTGGAAACATCTTGATTATATTTCCAAGTGTAGCTCTCATTTCCCAACAAAGCACTGGAGAAGGGGCCTCATAGCCACATGGTCCCAGCCTGAGTGTGGCTGCAGGAGTTGGTTCCCTTTGTGCAGGGCTTGAAGGATGCTCTGCTCAGCTTCCCTGGCCTCTACCCTGATAGGTCTGAGACACAAAGGCCACTGGCTGAGCTGCCAAGAATCTTTGCCCTCACCCCTACTCGGTGCTGGCTGTGGAGGCAACTCGGGTTCAGTAGGCCATGAATGTGCCTGATCCAAAGGCTGCAGTGCCATCTGGCCACCACTGCTGGGCACATTTCTCTGTGGCAGCAGAAGCATGCACAGGTCAAAGTCTCCAGTATTACATGCAGATTACTAATAAGCAGTTGTGAGCCGCCTGCTCCAATGAGTAACACCTGCTGCCAGTGACTATAGGGATCAGAGGAACAGGCAGGCTGGCAGAGGCACTTGACTTACTCAAGCAACAATACCTGGAAGTTTAAGTCAACCATAAGCTCAAAAAGGAACCAATCCAGCTTGTAAACCCAGGGCCATATACAGACTCTGGAACTGGAGGGAGGAATAGCTCCCCACTCCTGCTCTAGTCTCGGGGACTCGAGCAGCAGGACACACACTGCTCCCTGGAGCACCATGTGTCTCGAGTGAGTCATCACATTAAACACACCCGAGGTTTCCTGGGGCCTAGAATAGAGCCAGTCACTTTGCAGAAAGATGCTCAGTAGGAGCACACCATGTGCAAAGGAATGCAGTTCCACACACACAGCTTGAGGGGTTCCCCTGCAGCCCCATTCCTCATCTCTCTTTAGATGCAACAGCAGGTTCTGAGGAATCTTCACAGGAGGCCTCCATCCAGAAAAAGGCCCTCCTCCTTCACCAGTGACACTGCTAACCCAAACATATTTTTCTATAAAATATCTGGTTTCTCTGAAAGTAATAAATATTTACCATGTCCTATATCCAAGCAGCAGCAATTGAGGGAAGGTGAGAAGGAAAGAGCTTTTCTGCGACTGTCATGAGGAAAGATGGAGGGAAAGGAGCGGGAGGGAAAGAAAGGGAGAGTGGGGTGGCCCAGTAACTACTGGTGACACAGAGCCCTCCTTCTTCCCACTTGATCTTGCCCAGTGTCCCCGCCATAGCTGGAATGTCAAGTGGCTGATGGAAGGACAAGTAGGCAGGGGAGCTGCAGAGTAGACCAGGCCAGGGCTGGCAGAAGGAAAGGATGACACCCTCTGTGAGGCAGCTGAGGATGGTCCCTGCTGAGTCCTCCCAAAGTCTGGCACTGGGTCTGACTGCTGCCACGAGTCTCCAGGAGGTCCAAGAGTGGGGGCTTCTATGTCCCATAGGGAACCACCCTGCTTTTCACTGGCCAGAAACAGTAGGAAGGCAGGAAGATGCTGAAGATGAGGAGGTTCTTTGCTGGATCCACAGGAAGGGGGGTGCTGCGGATACTCGGAACACTTACTGCAGGGTTTCAACAAAGGCATCAAATTCTCGGACATTCTTCTCATGCACAGCCAGTTTCTCTGGTAAAGAATCCAAGTCTTCTGCCATAGACTGGACTCCAATATCTATGATTTCAGGGGGATTCTGAAATTTACGGCAAAAGGTTCCCAAGTCCATCGGAAGAATGTCATCTTTAGAAAAAGCAGGTTTAAAGTCAAGCACAACAAAGTCGTCGTGTGGATTGCCACTGCTGCCCCCGCTGGAGCCATCTGAGTGCAGGCTGCTGTGGAGAGGAGACATGGTCTCTGGGGAGTCTGGGGGATTCACCATAGGATCAGCATCCTCCAGCTCCAAATTCTTGGGAGCAAACATGGCAAAGGGTATGTCCAAACTTGTCAGGGCCACCTGGTTGATGGGTTTGTTGACAAATGCTCTCACTTTTCGGACAAAGACAGTCTCCAAGACATCCTGGGGTGAGGCCCGTCCCTCACTGCTGTTAGATACAGTCTCAGTGTCCTCACTGCTAGATGGCATGGCAGCACAGTGGGTTCCCTCAGAAGGTGTGTGAGTCACCGGTCTCTCGTGATCAGCCTGGGTGCCGTGAGCAGGCTGACTGAGAGCAAGAGGTACCCCAGCTTCCTTCCCAGGAACCATCAGCTGGGAGGGAGGGGAGCTAGAAAAAGAGGTGGTACAGACTTCCTGAGAGTCTTCCACTGACAGGTATGTGACTCCAGCATCCTCACCAGTTCTGTAATTGCAAGGGTGCATGGGAGAGGAGCTGGGGTAGGGACGGTCAACAAAGTGATCAATGATAATCCCCATGATAGGTGGGGTCCTCTCAAATTGCCTGGTCGACATGAATGCCAAATTAATTCTATAAGCACAGGAAAGAGTGATGGTGCCAACAGGGGTGCCCACTGTTCCAACTCGAACTGTCTGGAAGCCTTCTCCTAAACCATTCAGTTGAACTTCCCCAAAATAAATCCAGAAAAGATTTTAGCCTACGACCGTCTCAGATCGGAAAAGCATGGCAGCATGGCGTCTGACCGACTCTGCTTTCTTTCTTCTAGAAAAATTTTTTATCTACCTACCTATACATGACTTCTTGTTTGAGTCTCTATCAGTTTTCTGCAGTGAACCATGAGCATACCTAACAGCAACCTTTAAAGTCTCCATAAGGAGGATGGGGCCTCAACAATGATTCTTCCAGGACTATGATAACACCACTAATCTGAAAAACACCACTTAAGGATCAGCTTTGGACTACAAACTGCTCATAACAATTTCGAGGTGGCTAGCTGAAATGATCCAGCCTAACAGACTACTCTAGTCAGAACTTGAGACAAGCCCAGCACTTTCCTATTACACAGAGACTGAACAAAATATGGTACAGATACCTCTCTCAGGACTTGACAATCAACCCAAATTTTCCTTCATGATCCCCTAAAGATACCATCATCCCCAAACAGCTGGAAGTAAATTTAAGAATACTTTGCCCACATCTCCAAGAGGTGGGATGGATGGTTTTTAAACATTCAATGAATTATGAATATTTGCCATTGCTTAGGGAATTAGTTATAAATTATTATTGGTAATGGTCAGGAGAAAAAGCTAAAGGAAATTAAATTCAAGGTTCTTGTTTTGAAAAAAGTGGATAGAGATATAATAAAATAAGAGCGTAGATTATTGAATCTACTCTTTTATTTATTTTTAAAAAACAATCTTTTTTTCATTTTACATACCAATCTCAGTTCCCACTCACTCCCCTCATCCCCTTCCTTCCACCTAATCACCAACAACAACTCACTCCAGGGCTGGCCTCTGCTCTGTTCTCCCAATGTGTCCTATATGATGCAGAATGCCAGATGAGCTTCCAGTCTGCCCTGGGTTCTCGATGTTCTGAGAAGGTGAGATTCAATCCCCATAGGAAAGCAACATAGATGTCTGTGAAGGCTGAAAAGGGACCAGCTGATTGATGCCTGGAAAAGGGGACAGACCCATTCACAGTGGAGTCACCGGTCAGGGTACATTGTCACGAAGCCCAGGAATTGTGTGAGGAGATTCATGTGGGTGTGAAACAGGAGGCAACCTGGGTCCTGGAGAGAGATAGGCATCTCCATCACCCTAGGAAGAGTTTCAGAGGAACCCTCCATCTTCCTAGGATGTACCTATGGTCTTTCCATAGCCTTCCTGGGATGCATTTGTCCTCTGTCCATGGCAGATGCCGGAAGGATAGGGTGGTAACACAGGACCCTCTGGTAGAGTGGTATACTTAGAAACATAGGAAGCAGCCAATAGGTCTGAGAAGGCTGTCAGTGACCTCCGGGTCTGTAGGGATAGGGGTGGAAGCCAGATACAATTAAGCTCATGGTTCCTGTAAATACACTTCTGGGTGTTATGCAGACTTCTATAGCTGTTTAGTGATTACTGGGGGGACCTGAAATTCATATTTGGGTTCTGTCCAGTTCGGTAACTCTGCCACCATTTGCCTACAGGAGAGAAATTTCCTGCTCTAGATCGCAGAGAACAAGCAAATCCGAGGTGGACGTGTGTCCTTTGTTCCACTCTTGAGGACTCTAAGCTTCCTCTGAGGTCACATAAGTCCATCCAGAGAGTTAGTTAATGGCCTAGGCACCTAACCAGCTATACTCTTAAAGGGTCTCTGAAGAAGATGTTCAGGTGACATAGCCCAACTGTGACTTACATGGAAGCACACTGGCTTGTTCATATAGCAGTAAGGCCTTGTTCCCTGTCAACTCTAATAGGTGGTAAAAATCAAGTACTGGCAAAAAGCTCCCCAGTGTCATCTGGAGTCTAGCTAGGGACAGAGATTTGCAGCCAGGGCTTCCTGCTGTCTCTATGAGGATCCCATGGCTTCCTTAGTCAAGGCCTGCCTGACTCCCACAGAGTCTGTCTCAGGGCCTTGTGTCCTGTGAGGGCTCCAAGTGTCTGGTCTGAGGCTGACATCCTGGGGCTGAGTGTGCCCAGCACAGGTTCTGCTCTCTGCAGGTAGACAGGTGAGGGATTCTGACCTACTGCAGTTTGTCTACCCCATGTGTGTTCTGCAAGAAGGGCCCGAGCCCTAGTGTGGGGACACTGGGAGGAGAAAGCAGGCACAGCCCAGTCCTGGCATCCCGGTGTATGAAGTAAGACAAGCCACACCCAGCAGTTGGGAGACAGGTTTTCATTTACTGTTCACACTGAATTGCACATGTGCCGTTTCAGTTTTCAAATATCTGTTTAGAATTTGAAGTGTGTACAAGCCTGAGTCATTCTCAGTAACATCCCGAAGCTGGAGGGATCCATTGGGGTACACTCTCTCTCTTCTTCTGTGGGCAGGCCCCCTGGTAATGGAATTTGTGGCTCTGCTGTATTCTGCAATTTTAAAAATCTGGATGCTATACACTCCTCTGTACCAGGAAAAGGCTCTCACATCTTCTGGAAGATTGTGAACAAGAAGTAGAACACTTTCCCCTTCGGCAGCATTTCTTGGCACTGGCTCTATGGTGAGCTGGGCAAAGCTGAGAGGGTTGCAGCACACAGAGAGGGAAGCTGGAAGAGAAAAAGAGAAACAGCCCTCACATGGGGATCACTGAGTTGGCAGAAAGATGGCAATCTCTATCCTGTGCAGGTGGATTTGTCACTCAGTCTAGAGATACATACCATCCCACTCGCAGGAGGTCGGCAGCATGACCTCCATTCCCTCATTACCCTGAATGTGTCATTTCTCTGCATGTAACTCTCCCCTCATGTGACTACATAACTGCCCCACTGTTCCCCATCAGCTTGAAAGGAAGTGAGATACCAAACCAGGGTCACATGTAGTTGTGTAGTAGATGACTGGGACCAGGGCTTCTGATGTTGACCTCTCTATGAGGCTGCCATGGTTTCTCCCATGCATGGCTGGAACCTCAAGATGCTGAGTTACTTTCCATCAACGTCTTCCTTGATACAAGGAAATAGTGAGATGGAGTCTAATCTACAGTTGTCTGTCTCCTCCATGTGTTTCCTGCACTAAGTGCTCAAACCCCAACATGAGGACGCAGTACAGAGGGGAGGCAGGCACAGGCCAGGCACAATCCTATGTGTCTAAGTCCCGCCCGGCACAGACCGATTGCAGAGAATCACTTACAATCCACGTGGAGTTGCACATGCACCAATTCTATTTGCAGGTCTCTACTCAGAGTTCGTAGGGTGTAGAATCCAGTGTCTTTCCAGGTGACATTGTGGAGCAGCAGGGATCCATTGCTGTACACTGTCTCTCGACCACTGTGTGCAGGGCCTGGCGTAGTTGAATTCGTGGCTATTATGTGTCGAGCAACTTCCAGATTGTTGAACGTAATCACACTTTTGTACCAGGAAAAGGTTTGAAGATTCTCTGGGAGATTGTGAACATGTAGAAGAACGCTTGCCCCTTCTGCAACACTGGGCGGCACTGATTCGATAGTGAGCTGGGCAGAGGTGGGAGGGTGCCCACAGGTGAAAGAGGAGGCTAGAAGGGAAGAGAGAGATCCATCAATATTGGGACTTTGTACTTGGCCAAAAGGGAGCACTGAGCAGGTGTGTCCATTGCTCAGCCTAAGCTTGTGAGTGTCTCCCTGTCTTATTTGGTGGATGTCAGCACACGACCTTCATGTTCTCAGTGTTCCCACTTGTCATTTCCACTATATGACTCTCTCCAGTTGTCAAGATTGTCCTGGCTTACTGCCATCAGACCCCTGCTCACACTTAGAGTGGATGGTATTGGGGTGATGGCTGTCCAACCTCTTCCCCTACAGACCCTGTGTCTTAACTCTGACTTTGTTGTTGTTGTTTCTCTTGGGGTTCCAGTCAATATCTGACTTCACCTTCTAGCTTCTTTACTCATCTGTCTTCCAGTCAGCTGTCACTGGGGCTCCATGAGAACTGAGATCTGTTCTATACTTTTGAAAGCAATACTACCTAGAAAATCTCAGGTACATGTGGAGAATTGATAAATGAGTGAAAGATGTCCCAGGACCCTATATGCCCATGGACTTTTTAAGACATTTATAGGTTTGTGGATCCAGAGCTGAATTTTTCCATTTGATTTGATTTTTTTTGTTCTCATTTGTATTTATGTGAGATTATATGCAAGGGCATGTCTCAAGGTGTGGGAGTGGATGCAGGACAGGTACCTCGGTGGATATCAAAGGACAATTGCATTCTTTGCTTCTCGGGTGGAGAGACAATGAGGCAAATGCCTGTATCCCCTGAGCCATGTCACTGATCAACACCAACTTGGTTTTTCATGTGAGTAGTCTTAGCTGAGAACATCAGTCTTCAGAATATTGTGATCAGGGAAAATAACTGTGGGTAGCAACCATCAAGCCCCCCCCCCCTTGCTATTTCTTGCACTGAGAGCTTCCTACAACTGAGCCTCTGTCTGGCCCTTTGGCTATTCCCCTACAAATCCCAAGACTCCTCTCGGGTACTTTTCCAGTTTAGGAGACTCCAGACAGTAGGTGAGTCCTCTCCTCTCACACACTGTCAACTCGTGATCTCCTCCCCCATGAGCAGAAGCTCTTGAGAGTCCAGGACACTTTGCAGAGGGGCACTGAGGGTGCCTCCATTGTCTCTATGGGCAATCTGTCCTGTGTCACCTCTGCTTCAGCATAGCTCCCAAGATTGGTGGTCCTTTCCCTTTCTAGCTGAGCCTCCTCTCAGAAAGGGGCAGCTCCCAGAGTCCCATGGGCTGTGGGTGGGTCTGTTCAAAACCATGCTCCACCCTTCTCCACTCCCAGTGCTGCCCCATCTCCCTCTCCACTTCTCTCTTAATGGTTCAGTCCTGCACACTACACAGTGATCAAAAGGGCTGATGAGCATCCCTGTGTCCTGAGAGAAGAGCAGCTCACCCTGGGGCTGCCTTCTGCTGTGTCCTGCTCTGGATCTGTCAGAAACAAGATGGAGCCCCTGCAGTCCCTGTGTGACTCTGAAACCCAGTCTGCCCTGTGTACTCAGCGCTCTAAAAAGATGAAATGTCTTCTTAGCAGGAATGTGACAGAGATGTCTGTGAGGCCTCAAAAGGAAGAGCTGAGTAATGTGTGGAGAAGGGGACCAATCCAGTCTCACTGCAGGCCTTAGCCAGGATGCTGACCAAAGACAAAGGCCCAGGAGCAAATGTGTCAAGAGCCTCACATCCTGGGTGAGTGGGAGGAGATGACCTGAGTCCTACAAAGAGAGCTCTGGGCTCCATCACCTCATGCAGGGTTTCACAACAATGCTCGTACTCCCTCTACTGAGATGTCTAATGGGTCTGCTCATGTGCTCCCTGGCCTCTGGAGTGGCTTGAGCTTCTGCCTAGCTGATTCCTGTAGGATAGTCTATCTTTCCCAAAGAAAATACATTTTTTGGAACTGAATATGAAGCCCTGGCAGTGGATCACTCACACAGAAGCAGCCGGTAGGTCTGAGAAGGCTGTATCACTGATCTCCAGGAATGTAGGGACCGGAGCAAAAGCCAGGAAACAAGTTCCTGGTTAGGGAAATACTTTTCTGAGTTTTGTTGTGTGTCCCAATGCTTCCCCTAGTGGTCACTGGGGGAACTGCAGCTCACATCTGGTGAGCTGTCCATCTCAGCAGGGCCTGTAGTCCATTTGCCTGCAGGAGAGAATTCCCTGAGCTCGATCAGAGAGAACAATAACTTGCCAGGATGACCTGTGTCCTCAGTCCCTCTCCTTAGTGACCCTGACCTTCCTCTGAGTCTCATAAGCCCATCAGGAGAATTCACTAATGACATGGGTACCTGTCCAGCTGTGCTCTCCATGCTGAGTCTCTGGAGGAGATGTCCGGGGGACCTAGTCTAACCATGGCTCTCATGACAGTGCACTGGTTCCAGACAGCACAAGACTTTGAGTGCTAGAAAGCACTGTTCCCGACCATAAGGAAGTCAAAATCCAACCTTCACAAAATGCTTCTCAAGGATACCTGACGCTGAGTCTGGGAGAGAACTCTGGAGCCAGGGCATCCTGTTGATCACCTCTCCCTGAGGATCCAGTGTTTTCCTCAATCAGGCCCAATATTGGTCCCTCAGGTCTTCTCAAGGACACATTCCTGTGAGAACTCCAGAATGCTAGACAAAGGCTGATATCCCTGGCTGGACTACCCACCATGCATCCACGTGTCTGCAAGGACTCTGGTCCACTGCAGTTATTTTCCACCACATGTGTCCTGCACTAAATTCTCAGACCTCGACCTGGGGACACAATGCAGAGGTAGGCACAGGCCGGACCTGACGATTCTGTGTGTCCGGTGGAACAAATCCCACTTAATACCCAGCGTTCACAAAGAACCACTTACTGTACACAGGGAGGTGGATGGTTGTCAGTGATACAACTCTTGAATGTCGACTGATGGTTCGTAGGGTATAGAATCCTGTGTCCACGTGGGTGACATTGGAAATCCACAGGGATCCATTGCGGTAGACTGTCTCTCTACCGCTGTATTCAGGCCCCGGCAAACTTAAATTGTTGTTCAGTTCATAGAGTACAATTCTGCGTTTCATATTTGTTAGCCCTTTGAACCAAGCAAAGCCTAGCAGATTCTCTGGCAGACTGTGGACATATAGAAGGACACTGTCTCCTTCGAACACACTGGGCGGCACTGATTCAATGGTGACTTCAGCAGTGGCGGGTGAATGACAACAGATTAAAAGGAAGGCTAGAAGGAAAGGGGAAAAATCAATATTGAGGAGGTGTGATCATCACTTAGGTGTGTGGGTAGGGCTGTGACCACGCTCCTTGATGGAGGTGAGCAACATGGCCTCTATTCCCTCAGAGCCTCTGATGGTGTCTTTTCCTGTCTATGAAATAATCTCACTGGTCTTCCTGGCTTCCCCTCCCAGTGTCCCCATATCCCTCCTCACACAAAGAGTATTTAGTATGAGGAATTCACTGGCAACCTCCTTTTCCTCTAGAGGGTCCTCACTTTCTGATTTTTCTCTGTTCCCTTTGTGTTATCAACCAACCCCTGACATCAGTTTCCAGTCCACTAGAACCAGGGCTTTGTGACGACAGGGATTATTAGTGTGACCTTCTAAGAAGATTCAGTTCCTGGAAAAGATTCAGACACCTTTACAAAAGGAGAGAAAAAAGGAACAGAGGAATGTTGGAAGGAAAGGTGTCTCCATGGTATCATCTACGTAGATCATGGTTTGGAGTGAATGGTAATAATTATATTCAAGTTTGATTTATTTTTTTAATTTACTTATATACTATATGTGTGTATTTCTGGAGGCACACGGATCAGTGTGTGCGGGTGTAGGACCATGCCAGAGCAACCGTGCGGAGGGCAAAGAAGAGGCTGCAGGAGTCTGTTTCTCCATCTGCCATGTGGGAACTGAGGACTGAATTCAGATGGTCTTGTCTCCCATACTGAGCCATCTCACTGGCTCACTCCTGTTGATTTATGTATGGAGTCACCCTGTCATGACTGGGACATCGGCTTCACTCCGAATAGGGAGTGACTGGAGTTTTTCTCTTCCCTCATCACCTCCTGTCCACTGAGCACTTCAGAATGCTTCCCTCACTGTACCTTCTGCCCCATAACTGCAAAGAGAAACCTCAAGTCCCCTCTCGGGTACCTGTCCTCTTAGGCGACTCCAGGCTGCTACTGAATTTCCCTCAACCCACAGTCAGGGAGTGGGTACACTTACCTATGAGCAGGAGCCCCTGCCAGGGCGTGCAGCCCTTGTAGGGAATCACAGAGGACACCTCCATCACTCTTCTACTGTGCAGTTCTCCCTCTGAGGAGAAGAGTTTCAGTTCCAACACAGCCCCCAGGCTCTACTGTCCTTCCAGTTGAGCTGAGTGTCCTCACAGGCGTTTCCCACAACCGGATGTGCTGAGGGTTGTTGGATCTGTGTCCAAGGCATTGCTCTGTTCCTTCCACTCCCAGGGCTGTCCCACATCCCTCTCAACTTCTGTTTATGTTTCTCCTACAAGCACCATATTGAGCAACAATGCTGATAAGCATCCCCGTGCTCTCAGAGAACAGCAGCTCATCCCAGGGCTGGCACAGGCTGTGTTCTGGCCCTGGGTCTATCAGCATCCAAGAAAGAGCCTCCATCCTGCCTACGTGTCCTTGTGACACAGATTCCCAACTGAGCATCCAGGCTACGCTATGTTCTCCATGCTCTGGGAGGATGGAATTTACTCCCAGCAGGAAGGTGACAAAGATGTCTCTGAGGGTTGCAAAGAGACCAGCTGAGGGATGACTAGGGATGAAGGCCAATCCTGTATGACTAATGTCATGAGTCAAACTCCTGATTCGGGACGGAGACCCAGGAGCAGCTGTGTGAGGAATTCCATGATCTCAATATTGTGGTAGGGGTGACCTGTGTGTCCTTGAGAGGACTGTGGGCTCCCTCTTTCTATGGAGGGCTTCAAGGCAGCCTTCAGCATTACGTGTTGGCTGAGCTGTGTGTTGGGTAAGCTCAAGTCCTCCCTGATCTTACTGGGTCACCTTTGCATTTTGTCTTGGTGATTCCCTGGTGGTAATCCTGTCATCCACTGTGGAGATGCCAGGAGGGAAGGGGCTTTCAGGTTACCCGTACAGAAGAAAGATGTTCTCAGACACAGGTCACAGCAGGGTCCAGGTAGGGAGCTCTGGGTTGGTGGAGACAGGGATGGAAATGAGTCTCCCAGGCAAGGTCATAACTCAGGGAAACAATTTTCTGAGGTTTACCATCCCTGACTTCAAACTCTATTACACAGCTACAGTAATGAAAACAGTGTGGTACTGGCATAAAAACAGAGAAGTCGACCAATGGAATCATATAGAAGACCCGGATTTTATCCCACAGACCTATGAACACCTCATTTTCGATAAAGGAGCTAAAAGTATACAATGGAAGAAAGAAAGCATCTTCAACAAATGGTGCTGGCACAACTGGATGTCAACCTGTAGAAGAATGAAAATAGACCCATATCTATCACCGTGCACAAAACTCAAGTCCAAATGGATTAAAGACCTCAATATCAGCCCTAACACACTGAACCTGATAGAAGAGAAAGTGGGAAATACCCTACAACAGATAGGCACAGGAGATCGCTTCCTATGTATAACCCCAGAAGCACAGACATTAAGGGCAACATTGAATAAATGGGACCTACTTAAACTGAGAAACTTCTGTAAAGCAAAGGACACTGTCACTAAGACACAAAGGCAACCTACTGACTGGGAGAAGATCTTCACCAACCCCGCAACCGACAAAGGTCTGATCTCCAAAATATATAGAGAACTCAAGAAACTAGACTTTAAAATGCTAATTAACCCAATTAAAAAATGGGGCACTGAACTGAACAGAGAATTCTCAACAGAAGAAGTTCAAATGGCCAAAAGACACTTAAGGTCGTGCTCAACTTCCTTAGCAATCAGGGAAATGCAAATCAAAACAACTTTGAGATATCATCTTACACCTGTCAGAATGGCTAAAGTCAAAAACACCAAGGATAACCTTTGCTGGAGAGGCTGTGGAGGAAGGGGTACCCTCATCCATTGCTGGTGGGAATGCAATCTTGTGCAACCACTATGGAAGTCAGTGTTTCGGTTTCTCAGGAAATTCGGGATCAACCTACCCCTGGACCCAGCAATACTACTCCTGGGAATATACCCAAGAGATGCTCTATCATAAGACAAAAGCATTTGTTCAACTATGTTCATAGCAGTATTATTTGTAATAGCCAGAACCTGGAAACAACCTAGATGCCCTTCAATGGAAGAATGGATGAAGAAAGTATGGAATATATACACTCTAGAGTACTACGCTGCGGTAAAAAAACAATGACTTCTCGTATTTTGCATGCAAATGGATGGAAATAGAAAACACTATCCTGAGTGAGGTGTCCCAGACCCAAAAAGATGAACATAGGATGTACTCGCTCATAATTGGTTTCTAGCCATAAATAAGGGCCATGGAGTCTACAATAGGTGAACCTAAAGAAGCTAAGTAAGAAGGTGAACCCAAGGAAAAACATATAGTTATCCTCTTGGCTAAGGGAAGTAGACCAAATTGCCGGGGAGAAAATTGGGATCTTGGGGGTGGGGTGGGATGGGGGTAAGGGGTGATGGGGAGAGAAAAGGTAGAAGGGAAGGAGGGGGGACTTGGGGAAACAGGAGGATTGGGATAAAGGAAGGGTGGATAGGGGAGAAAGGAACCACAATTCTTAGTTAAGGGAGCCACTTTAGGGTGGGCAAGAGACTTGACCCTAGAGGGGCTCCCAAGTGCCCAAGATGAGGTTCCCAGTTAGTTCCCTGGGCAGCTGAGGATAGGGAACCTGAAATGACCCTATCCTAGAGCAATACTGGCGAATATCTTGCATATCATCATAGAACCTTCATCTGGTGATGGATGGAGAAAGAGACAGAGACCCACACTGGAGCACTAGACTGAGCTCCCAAGGTCCCAATGAGGAGCAGAAGGAGGGAGAACATGAGCAAAGAAGTCGGGACCACGAGGGGTGCACCCACCCACTGAGACAGTGGAGCTGATCTACTGGGAGCTCACCAAGGCCAGCTGGACTGTGACCGAAAAAGCATGGGATAAAACCGGACTCTCTGAACATGGCGAACAATGAGGGCTGATGAGACGCCAAGGACAATGGCACGGGGTTTTGATCCTACTTAATGTGCTGGCTTTGTGGGAGCCTAGCCAGTTTGGATGTTCACCTTCCTAGATATGGACGGAGGGGGGAGGACCTAGGACTTAACACAGGGCAGGGAACCCTGACTGCTCTGTGGTCTGGAGAGGGAGGGGGAGAGGAGTGGGGGGAGGGGGAGAAGGGTGGGAGGAGGGGGAGAATGGTGGGAGGAGGGGGAGGGAAATGGGAGGCGGGGAGGAGGTGGAAACTTGTTTTTTGTTTATGTTTTTTTTCTCCTTTTCTCAATAAAAAAAATTTAAAAAAAAACAATTTTCTGAGGTTTGAGCGTGTGTTCTGATACTGCCCCCTCGGGGTCACTTGGAGAACTGCAATCTCATAGCCAAGGTCAGCAAATCAAATGTGGCCTGCCTAATACCCTCAGCACAGTGGGGATGTGGGGCCTGTCATCCTGCTCACTGTGCTCTTCAGAACTCCTAGTGATAGGGTAGGCCTAAGCAAAGTTTCAGAGTTTCCTGGGAAGCCCTGAACAAAAGTCAAAATAGAAGAATATAGGTACCCTCAGGAGGCGCCCTGTGCTAGGAAAGTTTCAGAGAAAAGTCCTAGGACATCTCTCTGGAGACTCAAAGGAGAGGGCACTAATATATGGGCTGCACATGCATGTTTGGACCCATCACTGGTGTCTAAATCCTTCCTTCTCTTTACCTACAAGTTCCAGAAGGGCTGTGATCTCTAGTACAGAGAATATTGATTTAAATGGATAAGTCTTCTACACTTCCTTATACACTGTTCTATTTCTTTCTCTTGTTGATAAAAAAAATACCCTCAGCAACAGCAGTTTAGGAGAGAGAAAAGGGTCCATTTCCTTCTGAGGCCAGCACTGAAAGAAGTCAAGGCATAAAGCATGCTGCTCTCTCCTTACACTTAGCTAGCTTTCCTTTATCTATTTATTTATTTATATAAGTTTTTAGTGTGTAGCCTTCATTGTCCTGGACCTTGCTCTGTAGACCAGGCTGGCCTCGAACTCACAGAGATTCACTTGCCTCTGCCTCCCTAGTCCTGGGATTAGTCCTGGTGTCTGCACCACCACTGCCTGACAAGCTAGCTTTCTTATACAATCAAGAATCATCTGCTTAGAGATGGTGCTACCCACAGTGGCCTGGTTCCTCCTGAATCAGTTAGGACAATCTGTCACAGACATGCATAGTCTGACCCGATAAAGACAGACCATAGACATGCAGTTGTGTTACTCGGTTTGGACTCTTTTTCCACCAAAGTGACCTTGGGTTGTGTCAAGGTGACAAGAAATGCTAACTAGGACACCATTTCAAACTGCTAAGTCCTCCTCCTCCATAGGAAATTCCGCATTATCCAAGTAAGTGTCCCTCTCAGTTCCCCACAGTTCTCACTTGTCCTGGTGTCCACAGACTCTCATAGCTGGACACTCAGAGCCAGGATTCAGCTTGGGGGCATCTTCCCTGGGTTTCACTTTTCCTGTTTCACAGATCCTTGGTCCAGAGGTGCTCTGAAGTCTTATACTCTGAAGAATTAATGAAACAGCCTCATCAAACCATAAGAGTCATCCTGACTCAGGACAGGCCTTCCAGGCATCTCCAACATCTGCCTCTTCTGGAATCAGAGCAGAAGCCAATCACCAGGTGAGAAAAGACAGGAACTGGGAGCATTTCGGGTGAAAGAACATGAACATGGTTCAAAGCACTGGGTGTTCCTTCTGAGTCATGGAGATCATGAAAGCAAATGGTGGAACCATGAAGGCAAGAATTAGTGACAGAGAGAAAAATATACTTGACCTAAAGTACAATCTCTCTCCCTGGAACAAAGCCCCCAACACATTCAAGACCAGTCCAGGAGAAACCAGAGAAGTAAGGAGAAGAGAAAGAATCATAGCTGAGATCTAATGAGAGGATTGGAATTTGTTTGTACCACGGTATCTATCCATAAAAATCAAGGCTTTACCATAAAGCTTGAAGCTATCATTTCAGGCATCTACTCACCAAGACCTGTAATTTTTTAATGGTTAAGTATATTTACTGAGTGTTTACTAAGGCCAGACTTTCTATGTACACATTCAGTTATTTATCATATGACCCTCTTTTTTT